TGTGGAGTCTCCTTCTCTGGAGATATTCCAGCCCCACCTGGCCGCGGTGCTGTGCAGCCTGCTGTGGGTGACCCTGCTTGGGCAGGGGGTTGGGCTGGGGGACCCACAGAGGGCCCTGCCAACCCCTGCCATGCTGGGATTCTGTGAAGACGTCTCTGTTTCATACCTTTTGGTCCTGTTGCTCCATCAACGCTTCTTGCTCCATGAGTTTTTCCATTAAGGCCTGTTCCTGTTTTTTTCTCAGCTCATTCTCCTCTTCTGCTTGCTATTTGTCATAAAAAAAAGGCACAGGTTATAGCTTCTAATTGCCACAGGGAACAAACATATTCCAAATGAGCGATGCTATCACTGGCTACCACAGGGCTTCCCAAGGCAGCAATTCAGCTGCCCCTTGTCACAGCCTGAGGACACCAGGCTGGGCGAGACCTTCCTAGGTGGCACACCGTCCCCTCCCGGTCCCGAAAGATGTGTGTCCAGGGTCACAGTGTGAGCTGCAGCCGCCCAGACACTCCACTTCTGAGGATTCCTCCAGCGTCTCAGACAGCCATGTTGTCCTTCAGCCCCCCAAAATAATCCCCAAACAAGTGCTGGTGCTGCCCCGGGCTGGGGGGGCCGCGCCGTCGGGGATGGCTCACACGGCGTCAACGCTACAGGGAGCCACGAGCTGTTTGGTTGGGTGCCCCAAGCCACGCAGGGACCACATGGGGTTCAGAAGGGGAAGATGCTCCTGTTTACCTTGTAGGCCTTCACAAACCGGACAAACACCGGGAAAAAGACCGAGGGGGGGGTCGTCTTGGGGTTCTCCCCAAAGTACTTCACAACATCATCGAAGGCATCCTGCAAAGAGCACAGGTTTACGGCGTCGCACGTACGGGGACAAACGCACCGCGTCGCCGCTCCTCCTCCTCCCCGCTGCGTGCGCCAAGCCCGTCCCTCGCAGCAACGCGCTGCTCCTCGCCCGCACCCCCTCACCGAAGAAATACCTGGGCTATTTTGGCATCGTCCTGCAGCTTCTTCAGCTTCCCCTCGTTGTTCTGAATGAACTCCTTCAGCATCGTGTTGTGGTCGTGCATGGTGTACTCGCGCTTCGTCAGATCCAGGCCCCTCTGCAGCTCCTTCACGTCCAGGAGGACGTTTTCGAGAGACACTAGGAAACAAACGGGAAATGCTGCACTGCTCCTGCTCTGCGAGCGCCTGAACCACTCCCCGCCAAGGAGAGCCCCCACAGCCCAGGCACGGCGTGCCGTGAAGTCACAGAATCCCAGAATCCCAGCATGGCAGGGGTTGGCAG